TGATTTTATCACTCCGTTTCTGGTTTATTTGAAACAAAAAATAAAAATCCCTCAAATTTTGAACTAATTTTTTATTTACACAAATGTTCACCTGGACTTTTATTACATAAAGGAATTTATACTAATATCACGCATTTCGTTTAAGAATACTAGTTTACATTCAGATTTATTGGAGTAAACTGAGAACACACATTAAATTTTCCGATTGTTATAAATTAAATTTTCTGGTTTTCCAGGATCTCTTGTTGGATATCATAAAGGTCAATGTTAAAGCTCGCACCAGGATTGATAGTAAGTCCAGCAGGTATCACAGGTGAGTATCCAGGGGGGACTGGATTTGGCGGGTCATAAAAGACTTCTTTAACTGGAATGCTTACTGTGAAATTCAGGAGACCCGGTCCAGTACATGCAGTAGTGGGTATGGGGAGACCAGGATAAATATTAGTATCCTTTGGAATAGTTCCGAAGTCCCACTATAAAAATTTAAGAAAGGTCTAAATCACAAGAATTAAAAAATAACAAAGGTGAGATTTTTACTTCTTGGTATCCTGCTGTTCCTTGGGTCCAGAGTCTTGCCGTCATCGCTCTTAACCTTCGTCCTTGTAAGTCCCTTACATTCCTCGGGTTATGGAGCTTTATGCCAAACACATAACGTACATAAGTTTCTTGTAACCATAGTTCACATTTTGTGATCCAAGATTCGGTGGACTGGTAATTAGCAATCTCAACCACAATTCTGGCATGAGAATTACCCTAGATAAAATTGTGTATATTAATAGTGTGACCAGTGCTGGCAGCAATAGATAAATAGAACAATAAAACAATAGAATAAAGCAATAGAATTTAAAATTTTGTCAATAGAAGCCAACAAGCAATAAATAAATAGAACAAGAAATTGACAACAATGATTATGACTAAACATAATATGCAAATGAATTAAATTAATATACGTTTATATCGCTTGGAGGAGGACCTGGATGAGGGACGATGGGTTTTGGAACGTAATGCTTATTTGGTGCTATTGCAAGGTCTGGAGCAATTTTAACACCAGTTCCATTTGGATTATAATGAACTAAAAAAATGATAAAAAAGATATGCTAGAATTGATTCTAACCAAGAAATTAAACGGAAGAAGTAATAATTCTCTTACACGTATCACTTTGGGCCTTTATTGGACGATTAAAAGTCGGAAAACCAGCATTATAGGCACCAAATAATTGGATTAACAACGCGACAAGATATGAATGCTCAGGATTAGACATATCGATGATAAATACGTTGCCGTTGTCGTGTCGTTGATACTTGTACCCACGTGGCGCTTTACGGTCAAGAAACTTGTTATATTGTTTTACTGTCACGTTCGATCCAATCTGTAAAGGTAAACTGCAAATTTTTTTATAACTCATTCTGAAATCACTTGTATTAAGTCTACTCACCTAGTCTCATCAATTTCCTCCTTTGGAAAATGAATATGGCTTAATCGAACCAATTTTCTCAACTTTTCCAAAATACCTTTTTTTAACCTATTAACAAAAAATTTGAAAAAATGAAATGTTTTGCTTTATAAAAGTTTAATACATAAAAAAATCTCTAAGTCATTACTTGCTTTCACTTGAATGAACATAACTATCTTCATTTGAACGACCTCCTGAGGGAGATTGAGACATTTAGAGAAAAAGAAATTTTAATTAAATTTTATGGCTGATCCAAGAAAAAAAAGAATTTTATAAATTATCGTTACGTAATGATCACAGACATATTAATTAAGGTAGCTGCGCAGCGTGTGACGCGGCGCAGGACCAGTACGATCACGTTACTCTGTTATTATTTATTTTGGTTATTCGTTGATTGTGCAATTTTTTTTTCAATTAGATGTTTCTAGCTATTTATTTAATTTTTTGTTAAGGCCAAACAAAGTTTCACATTACATGAAATCCTAAAACTTGGGCGGCAGGCTGCTTTTTTTTTTTTTAATTTAAGTCTAATTAATGAATTTTAGTGTAGCTAAGCTTTTTACTGCTTCTATCTTTCTAAAAAAGGTATTTTCTTAGTTAAATATTGTGGTTATGCGTCGGGGTATGTTTGGTTGCAGGTGGAGGTCGAAATTAGGTATCGAATAAATTAGAGGTTCGATCGAACCTCGAATTTAATTACTTACTAGAACAAATATCGACTCCTAATTAGTATCATAGTGACACCTCGCAAGTGTGCGTAGGAATAGCGAAGTTAATATAAAGGTGTGGTCTGGTGTAGGTTTGAGGAAAGTAGCGAATGAGTGTTAAACCTCTGAACAGATCTGCATGGAATCATAAAATTATATTCGTTATCCTCATATCACTATTACTTATTGCAGGTTTCTAATCTAATTTTCGAATAAGTTTATTGCAGGCATTATAAAATTATGTTAGTGGCTATAAATATACTATTACAAAAGGGATGGGGTCCCGTAGCCTAGTGGTCTAGGTGCCCTTTCCTTCACAGACAAGGTCAATGGTTCAATTCTAGCTGGAGGCAAAAACTTTGTAATCTATAGAAGCATATGAATGTACATGAAGCCTTGTGATTAAGTCCATGTAATTAGAATGATCAGTATATAAGGAAGTTTCCAGAAAGAAGTTTCTCAATATAAAGAGTTGGTGCTCAATGTAAGAGAAGCAGTGAACATATCAGAAATGAAGAGAAGATGTACTAGCAGGTGATACAGTGAACATAAAAAAAAACTATGAAAAAAAAATGAACTTACCAATGATCCCTCACACCAATTTTTTCCAAAAAGGCTGACCTATGAAAACTATATAGTTATTATATTTAAATATAACAAAATTCTATTTTTGGTAACTAGAAAGATTATTCACTGCATGTTTGGTTATAACTGAAAAGAGATGAAAAAGATTCAAACTCTTATAAATGAAGTCTCTTGATAAAACACAAGTACTACCAAGCAAAAAAGTAGTAGATAAGTTCTGGAGCTTTGTCAAATGTTATGAGGACTTAGTTCTAAATAGTTACTTGGTTTAACATAATATTCTATATAACATAACTCTTACAACTTCTTCTCAAGTTAGTTTTCCTTTTCACCCTCACTACTGGATTTTTCTCTCGAAATTTTTATCAAAAAGTAGGAAATCTGATGTATTTATTCCAAAGGATTGATACTGTTTATTTTTCTAAATCAGTAATGTTAGTTACAAGAAAATTATGATATGAGTATTGGACCTATGATGGATGATATGTGTCAAACTCAAGAGGAAAATAAAAAATTAGTTCAAAATTTGAGGGATTTTTATTTTTTGTTTCAAATAAACCAGAAACGGAGTGATAAAATCA